GGCTGAATCTACGTCTCATTCGCATCTGAAGTTCTGACCCACGGGAGGAGGAACGCCAACTAGAAGCTCATCTCCAAGCCATGTTTCCCAATTTAATAAAATGAACCATGGCTGATACTTCTATTCCACTTTCTGTCTTACAAACACACAGCAGTATTTTAATTTAAACCTGGTTTTGGTTTGTGTTTATTTATTTGTTTTTTGCTTCTTTTCAATTTCAACATACAAGATGACTAAAACGGTTCATTTATTCATCTTATTTAGCAATAAAAGAGAAACAAAAAAATATAATTTGAGGGGACAGTTTCATATTTCATTCTGAGTTCTTGTGGTTTCTTTCCATGGAGCCTCGTCTTTCCCACATGTTAGATTGCTTTAAAATTCAAGAATTCTCAGAGATCAGAAGATGGTGTTCTTAAAGGAGAGCGGGGCCATCAGAAAGTTGTGAAATCTATGAATAAAAAGATATATCCTGGAGAAATTCATTAAAGGCATTGGAACATACCCAAACTTCACGTGGCAGGTGGAATCCTTCATGGCCTGGCCCTGCCTACCTGTCTGGGCTCTTTCCTATCTTTTCTTACGGGCATCTCCATGTGTCCCAGCACTCCAAGTTCTGTCTGGCCTCTCCACCTTTGCACATACTGATCCATTTGCTTGAAGAAGCCACCACGACCCCCACTGCTGCCTCCCTCTATCTTGCCCCTCCACCCTCATTCCACCACAAATATCTTCTTGTTAATTAAGTCTTAGCTAAAAATTTCCCTGATTCTTCCAGGCAGAGTTAGTCTTTCTCTGAGCCTCACGGCCTTGAAAACAATGATCTTTTTGTGTTATATTTACTTAAAGGTTTCCTTCTTTATTTGATTAAATCCTTGAGGGGAGAGCAGAGTGAAGATTTTTTTCTGTTGCTGTTTCTATCTTGAAACGTGAATGAGCAGAGTAAATGCTTAATAAACACTAAAAGTTGGGGTTGAGAGTAGTGAGGATAACAGAGGATGAAGTGTGGGCAAGAGAACTTTTGAGTGCTTAGCTAAACTGCGTGTGCACACCTGAGTCTCCATCTGTGAAGAACGGGAGCAGGGACACTAAATGGATAAATGCAGGACCGCGGGACCCACTATTCAGTTAGGGAGCACGTCCTGAGAAGGAACTGACACTTGGTGCTGGGAATTACAACACAGTGCAGGGGAAGAAGCACAGACTCTGTGGTCTGAACTTGAGTTTGCTGCATCTTTTTTTTTTTTTTTTTTTTTTGAGACAGAGCCTCAAGCTATCCCCCTGGGTAGAGTGCCGTGGCATTACAGCTCACAGCAACCTCCAACTCCTGGGCTCAAGCGAGTCTCTTGCCTCCGCCTCCCAAGTAGCTGGGACCACAGGCGCCCGCCACAACGCCCGGCTATTTTTTGGTTGCAGCCGTCATTGTTGTTCGGCGGGTCCGGGCTGGGGATTCGAACCCGCCACCTTAGGTGTACGTGGCTGGTGCCTTAGCCGGCTGAGCTATAGGCGCCGAGCCTTGTTTGCTGCATCTTATCTGCAGCACCGTAGCAAGCAATCTGATCTCTTTGAGTTTCAGTTTTCTCATTTAAAAGTAATGTGCATATTGCAAGGGGACATGTCTAATCTATTAAGTACAGAGTATAAATGCCTTAACACAATAATTAAGTAAATGAGGTGAAGGATATATTAAGTATTAACTAATGAAGATATAAGCATTCCAAATTGTATATATACATATATACAATTGCCTATATAAATATACAATTGTATATAAAATCAGCAATTGCATACAATTGCATATAAAATTAGCACATTGTACCCCACAAATGCATAAATGTATACTTGATCTATATGTTTATGAATAAAAAATATAAATAAAAAAATAAAAAAAGCAACGTAGGCTCCCTGAGGTTGCTGTGAAGATGAAATGGCACGAATGCCCAGAAGAATACCTGAAAACAGCACAAGCTCAACTAAAGGAAGGCTGGTCGACACGCTACCTCTTAACCGGAGAAAACAACTGGAGGAATCGGAAGTTTTTACCCATCTTCTATATCATTAGAAAGCCTTGAAGTTTAGATATTCAAAAACAGAAACAGCAAAAACAAACCAACCAAAGACCTAGATATCACATAATGACAATAGAAATACTGATCTGACCCACCTTTATTTTAGGCCAGAATTATAGGAGACACACTACAGCCAGGCAAAACTTGGTTACAACCTTAAAGCAATATTCTGTGCTTCTGGTGTTCTTTGGTGTTTTCGACACTTCTTCTAAGATGTTAAGGGACTGCACTTCATGATTTCTACAGCATGTGACATATAGTCGTATCTCTAACTTTTCTCTGCATAAGAAAAACTCCCAGAACTTCTCTGAACTATTATTTTTGTGATTTTTTTTTCTTTTTAGAGACAGAGTCTCGTTTTATCGCCCTTGGTAGAGTGCCGTGGTGTCACAGCTCACAGCAAACTCCAGCTCTTGAGCTTAGGTGATTCTCTTCCCTCAGCCTCCCAAGTAGCTGGGACTAAAGGCGCCTGCCACAATGCCCAGCTATTTTTTGTTGCAGTTTGGCCAGGGTCGGGCTCAAACCCTCCACCCTTGGTATATGGGGCTGGCACCGAACCCACTGAGCCACAGGTGGCGCCCTTTGTGAATTTTTTGTTTTGGTAATGAGACTACAAAAGTGAAGCAGGGGGCTCCCATTTCTTTCTACAGAGCTAAGGACTTAAGAAAAGAAAAAGACATTCTCTGACAAAACGTTTTAGGGCAGCTGATCCTTTTAAGGAAGAGTAAACAGGCTCGGCGCCTGTGGCTCAACCGGCTAAGGCGCCAGCCACGTACACCTAAGGTGGCGGGTTCGAATCCCCAGTCCGGACCCGCCAAACAACAATGACGGCTGCAACCAAAAAATAGCCAGGCGTTGTGGCGGGCGCCTGTGGTCCCAGCTACTTGGGAGGCGGAGGCAGGAGACTCGCTTGAGCCCAGGAGTTGGAGGTTGCTGTGAGCATGATGCCATGGCACTCTACCCAGGGGGATAGCTTGAGGCTCCGTCTCAAAAAAAAAAAAAAAAGGAAGAGTAAACAAAAATTCCCGTGATGTACGTTACAGAAGGTTGGCAAAAAGGGGGGAAGTGAATGAGACCAGATGAAAGAGACAGAAGATGACAGTGAAGGGGGAAAAAAACATAAATAGAAGCGAACATATATTAAAAAAGATGACAGTAGCATTCTAATTCTGTGTATATTATAATAACAAAAAATGTCAAATTAGTTCAGCTAAACAGATAGATAAAACAAATTAACTTAAAAAACATGTTGTCTTATTTAGGCTCATTAGGGAAAAGGAAAACCACAGACTACAGAATTAAAAGCCCCTTACATACCCTGGAACATGCATAACACTGGCATTTAAACAAGCAAAAATTATTTACCTTCCCCCAAAAGCCCCAGACAAAAACTAAGAAGCAGGACAGAAACAGATCAGTTTAATGCACAAAGCAGAGGCTTGTAACTCGCAGTATCAACCTAGACAGCCAAGCAGTAGTTTCTTGGTCGGCTCCTCTCATCTGGACGTTTCCTTCCTCCTCTTTTACAATCCTAGAACAGAACACTTGTAACTCGGCTGTGCTTTTAACCTGTGCCTGGAGCTTCTTCAACACCTAAGCAAAATACACGTCCCTCCTGCCCATACCTTCAACCTTACTGCTGCTGCTCTAGTTCCGGCCCGCACTTTCTTGACTAGCCTACTGTAGTAGATTCCTTATTAATCTTCAATCTCATCCACATCTCCCACCTATCTTAACTCTGCTGCCAGAGACACATTTCCAATGTGCAAATCTAATCATGCCACTCCAGTCCCACTTTATGCCCATCCATGCCATAAAATTTTCAATGGGTGAGGCTCCTCCCCATTATGTACAGAATAAACCTTAAATCTTTTACGTGGCACTCAAGACTCTTCACATTCTGCTCTTTACCTACCTGCTCCTCTGTGTCAATCCCCCATACCTACTGCAGATTTTCATTTAACCAGTATCGGGCTTCAGTTCCTCGTCATTCCAATCTCTGCCTGCAACCTCCTACTTCTGTTTATCTTCCCGGCAAGCTTCTAACTCATCTCTCAGCCAAATTCCAGCCAAATTTCAGGTCATTCTTTCCCTGTGAAGTTTTCCTGACTCCGTGGGTAGACCTCTCTTCCCTCGCCTCCATTCCTACCACCATCTACACACACCTTTCTTATGGCAACTAATGTACTGTATTTTTTTTTTAATTTTTTAAAGAATAATTGACAAAAAGATGGTATATATTCAAAGTGTAAAACGTGGTATTTTAATATAGATACGTATAAATGCTGTGAAATGAGTGCCACACATCATGCTTAGCAGAGCAGACGGCCTGACGTGTAAGTATGTATTAATGTCAATGGAATGAGAGCTTTGACCACGTGAATAAAACTCAGAATATAAAATACAAGCATCTTTACAATGGGAAAGCGTGGGAGGGAAATAAGCAAACTAATCTCTACGTTCAGCTTCCGTGTTATAAATCAAACTCTGCTGTATCAGAGTAAAGCAAGGTGCTTTCTCGTGTGTTAAGTATCTCTCGTCTACTTCCATCACTTTGTATTCTTGTCCAACTACAGCACAGCCATACTTAGGAGAGCGGTGAGAGCACCAGCTGCCCACACTGCTCCTCCAGCCCTGCCTCCAGTCACTCTCACAAGCAGCCAGATGTACCTCGTCCAGCAGAACCCCTCCCAAGGGGACCTGGACACCAATCACACCTCAGGGGTAGCCCTGTCACTGAGTATATTACCAGTGAACTTACGTCCCTTAGTTTCAATTACATACAGAACTAGGAAACGTGTGAAATGCATTTTGAGAAAAACTGACACAGTCCGGGAGAACTGCTCCTGAACCTTCGCCTGCGGGGCTACCTGCAGACCCAGGGCGAAGGCTCACACCTGATCGCGCTGGAGCCAGCTCTGTCCCAGTTACCTGCGATTTTGATATTCATGTTGTTATCCAGCAGGAGATTTTCAGCCTTGAGGTCACGGTGCACAATCTTCCGACCATGACAGTAATCCACAGCAGACAGAATTTGCCAGAATTTTCGCCTGGCTTCAGACTCATTTAGCCGGCCATGATTTGCAAGATAGTCTGTGAAAGAAGAAAGAATTCAGAATTAGTCACCAAAATAAAATGACTCTACTAGTAGCACTCAGGTTTTCTTTTCCTTCAAAAAACAATTTTTTTTTTTTTAAAGTGAGCAAGAATTAGTGTCCACATAACATGTTCTTGCCTTTGGAGAAGTAATTCCAATCATATTTCACTGGAGTCCAAAAAAATGGTGAGTACCCACGACCACACGACAGCAATTAGTACAATTCAAAGTACAATACCTCAACACGGCTGCTTATGCATAAGCACTCCCTCTGTCTTTCTGTTGAAAAATATATTGAGTATTTCTCCTAACCACACTTTAAAATTAAAACTTACACAAAGCAGAGAACATGAGTGACTTCTCTGACGTCCCATCAGAAAGGACATCATTTTAGAAACATTGTTTTCATGCCATTATTATAGAAACCACCTGTCTCAGGAGCTTTGAGGGTACCTGGAAGTAGCTTAAATAATTCACACCCTGTTCTGTTGGAAGGGACGATTCTGATCCACCCCAAAACATGCGTACTTGTTCTCTAAACCAAACACTGCCATGATGGTCATTTTCCTAAACTAAAAGACAAATATATTTTGCAAAGTACATTGTCTTTGTACAATGTTATAATCTTCATTAAGGCAGTTTACCTGAACGTTAATTCTATGTGTACTGGGTACATGGATTCAATAAAACTGAACATTACAACTCATTCAAGTTTCAAGAGAAGATCTAAAAGGCCTCTGAAATTATCTTTGGAAGGGAGAGCGAGAGCACCACAAACCTTGAAAGACTGTTTAAAGAAAATTTTCCTAACTAAGGAGCAGTCTGGGGAATCAATATTCACAGTCATCTTCACACATTTCTGTCCTAGTGCTTACTAATTTGCTGGTTTTTAAATTTCATGCCTTTGGCCCATGTCCTTCTCAATGTTTACTATAAAGTTTACTAACATTTGTACAACACATGTTGTTCATATCATAGTATCCTGTCTAATCTTCCTAAAGGCCTCTATGAGAATTGTTACTCAATTCCTGGTCAGAAAGCTAAAGATAGAGGGATTAGGTGATACAGCCGAATTCATACACTCGGCGAGTGAACAGCTGATCTGGGACTACTGGAACCTTTGACTGGATTTTATACTAGGAACCATTTTTACTAGACTCCTGCTGCAATCCTAGCTATCCTTTTAAAACCCTAATGGCACCTTGGCCTTCAACAGTCCCTTCATTGCTTCAGTAGAAAGAACCTGTCTTCTCTGAACTCCTTTCCCTTATCTCACACGGACACGTGCCAGTACCCGAAACTGACACAGTTTATCAGCCTGTGCCCTGGCCTTTACACTGAATGTTATTATCTGCGTACATATTCTAAATATGTGTGTGCACATATACGGCCCAAGTTCTAACATGCTATATTTTGAAAAATTAAAGATATCTTCATTCAAGCTTCCTAGGACAGGGACCACATTATTCTCTGTGCCCCTGCAGCGCTCAGCACTACTCACAAAACCTCACGGGCACAGCCCTTAACACTTGGCTGAGTAAGTCCTATCATGGACGGTGTCATACACTCTTGCATTGACAGTGTTATAGAAACGTGGAGTAGCACGCCATACTCTACGGGCTTTAAATCTAAGTAGACGTTCAGTCTGCTCTTCTACACGGGCTGGCATCGGAAACTGAGACGTCTTCCCCTTCACCACTCAGTCCACTGCCTCTACAGAGCCTGTGTGATGAGCCGTCCATAATTCTGAAGGGGAGGAAGGGTCACTTAAGAATGTGTAGAATTTTTGACCCAAATGCCCAAACTGCTGTCACAGAGATTATGTTTAAGAACTGGCACGTGAACAATGTCTTTGCCTCTTTCCATTGTCCCCCAGAGATAGGGTCTCACACCGTCACTCAGGCTGGAGTGCAGGGGTGTGACCACAGCTCACTGCAACCTAGAACTCCTGGGTTCAAGTGATCATCGTGCCCCAGCCTCTCAAGTGGCTGGGAATACAGGTGTGCACCACCATACCTGGATAATTTTTTAAATTTTTTTGTAGGAACTGGGTCTTGCTTATTATGTTTGGTCTTAAACTCCTGGCCTCAAGTGACCCTCCTCAGCCTCCCAAAGTACTCAGCTGACAACGTGCTTTCTATGCATGAGATAAATTAGGCCAGCACGGTGGCTCATGCTGTAATCCTAGCACTCTGGGAGGCTGAGCCAGGAGGACTGCCTGAGGCCAGGAGTTAGAGACCAGCCTGTGCAAGAGTGAGACTCCATCTCTACAAAAACAGAAATACTAGCCAAGTATGGTGGTGTGTGCCTTTGTCCCAGCTACCCCCTCCCCAGAGCAGGGAGGACTGCTTGAGTCCACGGGTTTGAGTTTGCTGTGAGCTATCAGAAGGTCACTGTACTCCAGCCTGGGAGACAAAGCAATACGTGTCTCACAAAAAAAGAAGCTGGACCCTTGGGCTAACATGAGCTATTGAGGTGAATACAACATCTCCTATAAGGGAATATATTTTGACTAGTTAATATTTCCCCCAAGATTCCACACAAAATGCTACCACTACTGAGATCATTTTCTCATGGACAAATGATTGACTTCATCAGATAGATAAATTTTTTTTTCTGACAAAAGTGTTAAGCCAATATGGGTTAGTGGTTTTGCAATTTTGGTAACACAGAGAAATCAAATAGATGTAATGTGAACAAGTTCAAAGCAAGACAGATGGAGAAAGATCTCCCATTACTGACTACAAATGGAGTCCTGGGAAGCACAGTGGAGTCCATGGCTATTCTTTATTTTTGGTTTTTTCTGAGACAGAGTCTTGCTCTGCTGCACGGCACAGTGGTGTCATCACAGCGCACAGCAGCCTCAGACTCCTGGGCTCCAGTGATCCTCCCCTGCCTCTGCCTCCCAAGCACTACGGGCACCGCCACCACACCCAGCTTATTTTTTAATTTTTAGTAGAGACAGGATCTCACTCTTGCTCAAGCTGGTCTCGAACTCTTGACCTCAAGCAATCCTCCTTCCTCCTGCTTTGGCCTCCCAGAGTGCTAGGATGACAGGCGTGAGCCACCATGCCCAGCCTAGTGTTATTGTTTTTAAAAGCTATTGGTCCAAATTGGCACTCCCATAGGCAAGGGCGAGGGAAAACTTTGAAACTTGGCATCTGTCTGAAAAAGAAAGGTGTGGTGTATCTGAACCTAAAATTACCAGGCCAAGCCAGTAAATTTACCACCACATGCCAGTAAATACCTAACACACACTGCCAGGAGAATGACAGGCCCCAAATTCCAGAGATTAAGAGACATACTATGAGGGAGGCAGGACTTTCACTATCTAAGCGAAAATCTCAGCAAGTATTCCGGCGCGTCTATTATCTTCCCGAGGCTGTGTGATTTCTGCAGCGTAAGCATCCCCGAAAACCGGAACATCTGCTCAGTCAGTCATCGAAGTAACTGAGTCAGAAACTGTGGCCACAAATAGCAATCAGTTTAAGTACGCACCACCCCCTCTGAAGAGCAGGGTTAACCAAACTCAGTTTAATGCACAAGCCCCTGAAGGTAACATAGAACTCACTCACGCTCCTGTTTCACATTAAAAACCTCATTTATGACTACAGGACAAACTTAGGAGCACAACAGCAATTTTCTATATTAATTGCTTATGTATATATTTTTGATGAATGGATACCACTTTTTTTTTTTTTTGAGACAGTCTCATTATGTTGCCCTCAGCAGAGTGCCGTGGTGTCACAGCCCACAGCAACCTCAAACTATAGGGATTAAGCAATCCTCTTGCCTCAACCTCCCAAGTAGCAGGTACTACAGGTGCCTGGCTATTTTTGTTGTTGCAGTTGTCACTGCTGATTTTAGCAGGCCCGGGCTGGGTTAGAACCCGCCAGCCTCAGTGTACGTGGCTGGTGCCCTACCCACTTAGCTCCAGGCGCCGCCCAGGGATACCATTCTTAGAAACTCATTTTTTCCTATGTTTACATTTGTTCTGAGTGGGGAGTGAAATGTAATTTTATGTCTGTTGACTTAATAACAAAGTAAAAGGTTGTATTTTGTATGTCACCCTCTCGCCACTTTGCGTTTCTGATAACTGACTTACTGTATTTTACAAAAATCATGGTATGCGAGAGACTGGACCATTTAACCTCAACACTGACGAGTTTGAGAAATACTGGGACAGACAAGTATGCAATTACTACACACGTCAATCCAGGTCAAGAATAAATATGGACTGATTAATGTAGATAGCTTTTAAATTTTCTAACTTTTCATTATGAAAACTTTAAACATATATGGAAGTAGAGACAATAGTCACGAATCCCCGAGATTCAAGAGTTTTCCACATCTTGCCATACTTGTTCCCCTTATCCTTTTCTCTTTCATTGCTTTTTGTGTTTGCTATAGTAACATAAAACACATTGACATCATTTTGTTTTGCCCTAACTACTTTTGTATGATATCTCTTAAAATTAACACTTTCTTTACACACTGCAATATCATTGTCACACCTCATGTAATTATCCCTTAATATCATTTAATACGAGTCTGAATCCGATACTCCCTAGTCGGCTTATTTGAATCAGGAGCCAGAGCAGATAAGCGTTTTGCACTTGCTTTCCTGCGCAGCCCTTTTATTTGGTCACAGTTCTCCCACCTTCACTCTCCCCCTTTTGCCACTGACTTGAGCAAACTGGGCTGCCCGTCCTAAGTCTGGATCTGTCTTCTCCTTCCTCATGATCCTGTTGAACTTACTCTTTAATCTCCCTCGTTCCCTACAAATTGGAATCCAAATATAATGGACGGAATAGATTCCAGTTTAACTCCTTTGGGGGTGTCAAGAACGGTGCCCGTATAGGAGTAACCGATCATCCCACTCTTCTTTTAAGAGTGCTAACAAAGCAACAGTTCTGTGGGGGAAAGCCTGGTCCTTTAATGAAAGATTCTCATCGGTCTTTTTCCTAATATCATGGTTCTCAAACTCCAGTGTACT